TTTTGCCCTCTGTTGCACCCGTGAAACCACATCAGGTCTCCACAGGTGTCTCGGCGGGTCAGAATTTCTCCATCCCATTATTATTCTAGGGTCACATGCATGACGCTCTAGTTACAGAGCAATCCGTGTTTCATTTCTAAGCCCTTATTTCTAAGGATGTGCAACTCAGCAAAAAATATCTGTTCCAGCTTAAACTTGACATATAAATGTTATGCCTAGAAGCACTCTTTCTTCTTCTTGTAAAAATGTTTCACTCTATGTTTGATGAATATACTTACAGCCTTTGTCAACTGCAGCATTTTATCATATTCTTGAGCAGTGATTTCCTAATACAAGCCTTTCCCACAATATCATTTTAACAATATCTCCCCCCTTATTCTCTTCCCTCTGCCTTGTTTCACTCTGTATTGGTTTTTTCCTACTGATTAGGACAGTTAGCTCTTCAGGGAATGGGACTCTGTTCCTCATATAAAGGGCCTTGAACACAGTTGTTTTGCCATCCCAGTTAAAATTTTCCCAAATTTTCCCAAGTTGTGAGCGTCTGCTCACAAGCTCAGTAGAGACGTATTCCAGTTTGGCAGCTAAATTCACTGACGATTTCATCCGTGCTGAGCATGCTCTAGCCCAGGGCTGCATGGACTGAACATGACTTTCAGTGCAATTGCTCGTCCGGGCAGCAAGGGGCTGCTGTGGTTGCAGGCACAGGAACTGAGAGCACAGAGACTGCCTCCCCTGCCTTCTCAAGGCTCTTCCTGCTAATGCCCAGGCAGCAAGGAGGAAACGACAGGATGTGACTGTGGGGAGTGAAGGGTGGGAATGAGGAAAAAAGAGGGGGAAGGAAATCAGAAGGTTGGGGGGATACAGGAGCAGAGGGGGAGGGGTCAGGAGCTGGGGTGGGGGTTGGATGGGAGCAAGTGGGGAGGGGTTAGGAGCTGGGGTGGAGTGGAGGTTGGATGGAAACAGAGGAGGATGGGGAGGAGCTGGGGTGGGGTGGAGGTTGGACAAGAGCAGAGGGGGGAGGAGTCAGATGTGATGTCATCTTGCCAGCAAGTTAAAGAAGTATGGGCTGGATGAATGGACTATAAGGTGGATAGAAAGCTGGCTAGATCGTTGGGCTCAACGGGTAGTGATCAATGGCTCCATGCCTAGCTGGCAGCCGGTATCAAGCAGAGTGCCCCAAGGGTCGGTCCCTGGCTGGGATGATTTAGTTGGGGATTGGTCCTGCTTTGAGCAGGTGGTAGGACTAGATGATCTCCTGAGGGCTCTTCCAACCCTGATATTCTATGATTCTATGATGTGGGGTGGAGGTTGGATGGGAGCGGAGGGCGGAGGAGTCAGGAGGTGATGTGGAGTAGAAGTTGGATGGCAGCAGAGAGGGAGGGGTCAGGAGCTGGGGTGGGGTGGATATTGGATGGGAGCAGAGGGGGAGGGGTGAGGAGGTGGAATGGGAGTGGAGGGCAAGTGGAGACAGTAACTAGAGGGGTAGATAGGAATACAAGGGCGTGGGTCAAGATTCAGTGGATTGGGGGTTGTGTAGTAGCAGGGAGGAGTCAGGAGCTGGTGAGTGCATAGGAGGAGAGAAAGATGGGGTCAGGCTTTGGGGCCCAGTGTTACATGAGATTGCAACCATTACAGAACGCTCCCCTCCAGAACCTGGAATTGGATGCAGGAAGCCTGAGTCTCACCATTCTCTGTTGTCAGCAAGTTGCTGTGAAACACTCAAAGTGTGTATCTCACGCTCGTCTAGTGGCTGGTTCACATGCAGGATAGCAGCCTACTACTGCTACTAGTTACTCCATTGGCTCAATTTATAGACAATTTGTTGTGGGTCTCAAGGTCTGAGCTCTGCTCATGACCCAAGTTGGGGTCAGTATGGGTCCACATGACTGAATTTTTTATTTCAGTTTGTTTTAAATTAGAAAAAAAAAAGCAAAAAAAACCCCTACATTTAAAGAACATTAAGGTTGTAAAGTCATACCCACAAAAGTTAGGAAATGTCAGAATTTACCTGAATAAGGACAGAATAGATACCTCTGGGCATTTTGCAAATATAATGAAAACCAGTAAAGTTAGTGTTGCCTTGAAAAATATAAAGCCTTTCATTTCTTTTAGTGAGAGACACCACAGCTGAGGAGAAAAAAATAATGTCCATTTAGCCCTTTTTCATGTGACACACAATTAGCTTGTGGAACTCATTGCCACAATATATTATTGAGACCAAGAGTTTAGCAGGATTCAAATATAGATTAGACATATCCCTATGAATAACAAGAGTATCCTAAAAAAACCCACAGCATTTTTGAAAGGGTTAATAAACCTCTATGCTAAAGGCTTAAGCCGATCTCTAATTATTGGAAGCAATGAGACTTCCCTGAGGACTGGTTACCCTGTCATTGCCTGCTGGAGCATCTTAGTGGTACAGAACACCAACATTTTCATGGAGCCCTCTGTTGAGAAAGCATTTTCATTTGTCCAGGAGCGTCCCCTGATGCAGAGATAACTGGTCACCACAGCATGTTGCACCACAGGCGCCAGCTTCTAATTTTCTCAGAGGATGCTCAATGCCCGCTCAGCCCCAGGCCCTGCCCCAACTCTACCCCTTCCCCCAAACTCCCATACCTGGCCCGCCTCTTCCCGCCCCTGCTCCACTCCATCCCTTTCCCCACGGCCCCACCCCCACTCCTCCTCTTTCCCGCCTCTTTCCGCCCCCTCTCCAAGCATGCCCAATCCCTGCTCCTCCCTCTCCCTTCCCAGCGCTTCCTGCACACTGTGGACTCGGCGCCTATGTCACACCTATGTCACATCCAGAAGCCAATTGCTGAAAACCACAATTAAAGGCCCTGAACCAACTTTCTCTAAAGTCTACTGAAAGACTCCCATTGACTTTAAGGGGAATTAGGTCAGGCCTTGAGGATGAAATTCAGCTCTGTGCTGTGGGCTAGTGCAAGACTTACGCACGTTTTAAGTCCCTCTGATTGCCATATATGATGGATACACAGCGCAACCAGTGAAAAAGTAGTGGAGATTATTGGAACCCAGCAAACACTAGTCAGAGATATTATCAAAAGAAAGGTTAGATGTGCTGGGCACATTTTAAGGGGTTCAGTGAGCGAAGCATGTTTACAGGGACTGGAAGGGAAAGTTGATGGCAGAAGGTCATGAGGAAGAAAATGGATGGATGAGGGATGCTGTGTTATCCTGGGCGGGATCAAAAAGGATTATTCATCCACAAAGAGATTAGCAGAGGATCATACAGAATGGGATACTATGGTTGCAATACTCCAGTAATGGAGATGCCACATAAGAAGATGATTCCCTACTTTGAATGCTTTAGTGGTACATAAATGCTGCACAGTCTATCTGCTAAAAAGCAACAGAGGGTCCTGTGGCACCTTTAGGTGCCACAGGACCCTCTGTTGCTTTTTACAGATTCAGACTAACACGGCTACCCCTCTGATACTTGACAGTCTATCTGCTGGCATCTTTATAAAGAAATTGTGCTATGGTGGGATATTCAGAAGTGTTCCTTATTATTACAGTAACACCTAAAAGCCCCACCCAAGACTTGTGTTATGCGATGTACAAACACAGAATAAGAGACAATCCCGGTCTCAGAAAGTTGACACTGACAAGCAGAGGGAGGGGTGAAATGACCGTCAAATCTTTCATCTGCTGCAGTGAGACACAACACAGTTGAGGAGGAAAAACAAGATTACACAGGAGACCAGCGGCAGAGCAAGTGATAGAATATGGGTCTCCTGAGTCCAAGCGCAGTGCCCTATAGTGGAACACATTGCCGCTCTACTGTTACTTTATCTGCTCTTATTGGACTCAGTACCAAAACTTCCATTAACTTCAATGGCAACAGCATTAGGCGAGTGCTGAACACTTCTGAAAATCCCACTGTTAATTACTGATTGCTTGTGTCAGCAAGGTGGGTAAATTCCAACATACGTCTGCCACGTGAAACGTGTTTGAACGTTGTTCTACTGTTTCATTTTATTGATTCATATTTTCTTGGGTGTAATAAAAAAGTGATGCGGGTGGTTTTTAGCCTCTGTTTCAAAATTTGCTTTACTGAACTGAATGATTAAGTATCACTTACACAGTTAGATTTAACATAGAAGCAGATTCAACAAACCCATTAGCATGTGCTTAAATTTAATTCAAGTCCGTCGGACTTAAGCATATGCTTAAGTATTTTGTTGAACAGGGATGATTTAAGACTGTGCTTAAAGTTGAAGTCAATAGGACTTAAGCATGACAGAACAAGGAGTAATGGTCTCAAGTTGCAGTGGGGGAGGTTTAGGTTGGATATTAGGAAAAACTTTTTCACTAGGAGGGTGGTGAAACACTGGAATGGGTTACCTAGGGAGGTGGTGGAATCTCCTTTCGTAGAGGTTTTTAAGGTCAGGCTTGACAAAGCCCTGGCTGGGATGATTTAGTTGGGGATTGGTCCTGCTTTGAGCAGGGGCTTGGACTAGATGACCTCCTGAGGTCCCTTCTAACCCTGATATTCTATGATTCTGTGTTGTTATTTATTATTTGTATTGCCATGCAGGGACCTCATTGTGGTAGGCGCTGTACAAACGCAGAACAAACAGACCATTACAGCCAAAGAATGTTTACAATCTAAGTAGATTCGTAGGTTCATAGGCAGAAGGGACCACTGTGATCATCTAGTCAGACCTCCTGTATAACAAAGGCCATAGAACTTCTCCTAAAGGATATCTTTTAGAAAAATATCCAATCTCTTATTTAAAAAATGGCCAGTGGTGCAGAACATCATGACCCATGGTAAGTTGTTCCAATAATTAATTACTTTCAATATTCAAAATTTACACCTTATTTCCAGTTTGAATTTGTCAAACAAAATTTAAAGTTAAGCACATGCTTAAGTGGCCATGATCTCTAGAGCTTTACCCTCATTTTCCATCTTCATATCACAGTTTCGGTATATTGACATTGCTCTCTCTTTCTCTCTCTCCTTTTTTTTCCAGACAGGACCATCCTGGTGGATACAACTCTTCCTCCTCTGAGAGGTCTCTATATACTGGGGACTCTGGAATTCCCAGTCAACTCCAGCAATGTCCTTAGTGCCACCTGTATAGTGGTTGCAGGTGGTGAATTGAAAGTGGGTAAGAGAGAAATAATGACCAGAGGATGTTCTTGAAGCTAGGATTTCGTTTTATTTGTTGATTAAAAAACAAACAAACAAGAATGAACAACAAATACTATGAGATCATTCATGGTGATGCTAGGCCTGATAATGGAACAGGTCATTGCTTCTTCTGTAATGCATACAAGAAAAAGGCCAGTTTAGAATGGGTAGGGTGAGGAGATAATCTAATACAGCTAATGCATACTTAAGAATTAAATGTACATAAGTAATGAAAAGCTGGTCCCATTGAAGTCAATGGTAAAACTCCCATTGATTTCATTGGGGCCAGGATTTTCCTCAATGTGTATAAAACCCATGCATGTGGATTGTATCTGTCTCCCTGCACTTCATATGGCACTTGTTTTCTTGGATTGCAAGTGCTTCAGGGCAGAGACTGAGTCATCCTGGATGTGGGAGCAGTCCCTAACATTGTGTGCTTAAAGTTGAAGTCAATAGCACTTAAGTAAGTGGCATGGTGGGCCTTTAACACCTACTCAAGAACTCAAGAAGGCAACTAAGTATTCCCCCAAGGCATAGAAATCCTGATCTGACATAAAACTGGCCTAGACGGCATGTTCTGCCAATACCTCAGAATAGAGAGATGTCAGGGACTCTTGGGTAATATAGCATAGAGTGCTAGTTCTTATGCCAAAAGTGTCCTCAATGTCACTGGGTCTGTTACCTACTATTCACAATGAAGAAACCAATGCCTTTCCCCAGAAAAGTAATTACTCCCATAATTCTCTTCAAACATGAAGCTGCATAAAACCGGGAATTTTATTTACTTACAGGAATCCTTTGGATGCTCAGATCAGTGTGTTGGTCACTCCCTGACCTTTCTCAAGATTGGTTTTATGAACTTTAAAACAATAATTTATTTGAGTAATCACATTCCCGCCAAGTCCACCCTGGGATTTCTTTGTTGTTAATCTCAGGGGACTGGCTAGTTAATACAGCTTTAGCAAAAGAGAGATTGTATTGCCTTGAGTTTTGCTTTGAAAAAAGGCTTTACAGGTAACAATGGAGGTCAGTGTACCTTTACATATTCTTAACAGTTTATTGTTCCCACCTTTTTTGCAGTTTAAATGTATATATTAGGAAAATAAGTGTGCTCTGCTGCCTAAAAACACTTATTTAGACATATTGATGTGCTTCATTGCTACATAACCCCCCCTTAAGCATATAGCCATGGAGTAATGCTGGCATTGATAGCCAAACAGGTAGCTAGCTACACCTGTAGATTCTTTGGACAGCATCTTCTGGAGACAGTTTCCTGTTCCAGTTTCTGCTATAAAGGGGGTAGCTGGATACAAATTCTTCACTTTGCCCACAGCATTCTCTATTGGCTTTTACACTTGGCTGTAAAAACGGGAGAGGATACCCCTTCCCCCGCCCCCGCTTTCTCTTCCCACGTGTTCCAGGCCTGAAGGCAGCTTCTTGGAGCCCATCTGTCCAATCGTGTGTATTCCATGCCCAAAGGAAGGTTTTTCAGCCCATCTGTCCTATTCCACCACACCCTAAAGAAATCCTGACACAAAACAGATAATGAGACAGTTTAGTAAACAAAGTTAATAGATGTGGACATCAGCATTGAGTGATGCCTAAGTAGGCTCTGAGATTGACACCATCTGATCCACATACCAACACGCTCTCTCCAATGTAACTTCTCAGTGTCCTGCTTCCAGTTCAGCCATTATTGACTAAATATCATTGACTCTGTTTTACAGATAGGGAAGCTGATGCACAGAGGGTATGTCTATGCTGCAGTTAGACACCTGCGACTGGCCTGGGCCAGCAGATTCGGGCTCGAGGGGCTCAGGCTCTCGGAGTTGTTTAATTGCAGTGTAGACATTCGGACCCCCACTTCGCAGGGTCCTAGAGCCAGGGCTCCAGCCCAAGCCTGAATGTCTACACCACAATTAAACAGCCCCTTATCCTGAGCCCTGCAAGCCCAGGTCAGCTGGGTATAGACATACCCAGAGTGGCTACATGACTTGCCCAGGCCGTACACACATTCTAGGGCAGAGCCAGGAATAGGACCTCAGACCCAGATTTCCTAGTTCTCAGTCCGGCATATTTAACCTCAGGATCATAATTCTGTAGTCTATAAGTAAAACTTAGTTTAACTTCACTGTATGGGGGAGGGATTGCTCAGTGGTTTGAGCATTGGTCTGCGAAACCCAGGGTTGTGAGCTCAATCCTTGAGGGGGGCATTTAGGGACCAGGGGGAACCTCTCAGCAACAGTACTTAGTCTTGCTAGTGAAGACAGGGGACTAGACTCAATGATCTTTCAAGGTCCCTTCCAGTTCTATGAGATAGGTATATCTCCATATATTATTTTTTTAATATATATATTAGCACACTGGTTCTTTTATTTGGGAGAAGGTTGATTAAAGCACAGGAGTGAGAGTAGGACTAGAGGTAGGAGAAATATTCTTTGCAAGAAAAAAAGGAAGATTTCAGAGTTTCTGAAACTTCAACGATATTCCAAAAATTATGGCAAAACTTTAGCTTGAAACGAAACAGGGATGTGAATTTTGATGAGTCTGTGCCCCCTAGAGGCTACATGGCGCAAAGAGATGCATGTCAGGGCTAACAGCAGAGAACTCCTGAGACATCTCTGATGGGCCTTACTAAAATTTTGCATTTATGTACAGTGTAATCCACTGGTCAATGTGTGCTATGAGTCCCCTCTGTACCTGATTCATGGGGGATACAATCTGTTACAGCTCCCAGCTATTGGGCTTAGATAAACCTGTAGCTCTGGATTTCCTGGTTCAACGATGGTTACAATCATACTTTAGAATCATTGTTTAGTTACACCTTACAGCCTCCATGTGGTATGAAGTAGGAAATTATCATCATTCCTAGTTTGAAGCTGGGGGAATTGAGGCTCAGTGAAGTGAGGTGACTTGCAAATGGCACTAGCTAGTCAGTGTCAGAAGGAGACGCTCAGAAATGTTGGCCTCAACGTCTCAGCAGTTTCTGCTAGGTTTCACTTTGGGATTACTGAGTTCATTTTGACCCCAAACTCAGGATTGAGGTTCAAATCTCAGTGGAATGAAACTGAAAAAAAAAAATTGTGAATTCCACTGCTGAGCAAAGCCACCAGGTTTCTATATCTCTGATAAGGAAGCACCAAAATGCTGAAGTTATTTTCTTCACGATGGGCCCATTGAAATCCTTTTTGAACTCTGTAGTACTCAGCCGTTCATACTGGCAGACTATCTGGTTTTGCCTGTCACACCAGAGTAAAACAGGGCAACACCACTCACTGAATAATTTCCCAGATAGACTTTTTTAGTCTCAGACTTGTCACATATTGTCTTGGCTCTAGTGATGTCTGCTTGTCAGTCTTGTCTCTCACTCTGGGCAAGATGCCGAAGGTCATTATTAACTCATGACTTGACTGCCTGAAGATGAAGCACCAGACATTTCTGAAGTCTCTGTTGCTTTTGGTGTGAAAGCCGTAATGCACCAACTTCCATATTATTTATATAATTGGAAAAAATCAAATAGAGTAATATCCCTCTTTATTGTCTTCCCAATTGGCACTTGGCAAAGGCTCATGGGATGATTAGGCAATAAGACATGTCAGACCATGTGGTATAGCTGAGTAGCACCCAGCCTCCCGGGTGTAGTCAGGACATCTGAGGGATGCATGACTCAGCTGTACTGCATAGGCAGTCTTGAAGTGCTCAAACTTCTCTGTAGTGTGGACCATGAGAGATTGTCTCATGAGCCCACTTCCCAGCCCACGTGCAGTCATGTAATCCTTGTGGTAACTAGGGCAGCTGCTTACATAGAGAAGAAATAGTAAGAAACTATTTAATGCATTTCTAACTCATGTTAACATGATGAATGTTTTGTCCCTTTTGAAAAAAAAAAGCGAAAGCTAATAACACGATCTGCTGCCGTTCTGTAGTTCATCTCCCCGCTTCCCTCACTTTTAGTCCTTGCTTTCCCCCGTCACTTAGTTCCTTTCCTCCTGGGCACACTGCCTGGCCATCTCATTTCCTTCTTTTATGTTCCCCTGGATATTCATCTCCCACTAGCAGCTGGCAGCTCCAGTCCCACTGGTGGCACTGGTCCATGGAGGAAATTTTTTATAGAATTGTAGGACTGGCATGGACCTTGAGAGGTCATCTAGTCCAGTCCCCTGCACTCATGGCAGGACTAAGTATTATCTAGTCCATCCCTGACAGGTGCTTGTCTAACCTGCCCTTAAAAATCTCCAATGACGGAGATTCCACAACCTCCCTAGCATTTTATTCCAGTGCTTAACTACCCTGACAGTTAGGAAGTTTTTCCTAATGTCCAACCTAAACCTCCCTTGCTGCAATTTAAGCCCATTGCTTCTTGTCCTGTCCTCAGAGGTTAAGAACAATTTTTCTCCCTTCTCCTTGTAACAACCTTTGATGTACTTGAGAACCGTTATCATGTCCCCTCTCAGTCTTCTCTTCTCCAGACGAAACAAACCCAATTTTTTTCAATCTTCCTCATAGGTCATGTTTTCTAGACCTTTACAATCATTTTTGTTGCTCTTCTCTGGACTTTCTCTAATTTGTCCACATCTTTTCTGAAATGTGCCCCCCCCCCCGCCCCAATACTCCAGTTGAGGCCTAATCAGCGTGGAGTAGAGCAGAAGAATTACTTCTCGTTTCTTGCTTACAACATTCCTGATAATACATCCCAGAACGATGTTTGTTTGTTTGTTGTTTTTTGCAACAGTGTTACATTGTTGACTCATATTTAGCTTGTGATCTACTATGATCCCCAGACCCTTTTCTGCAGTACTTCTTCCTAGGCAGTCATTTCCCATTTTGTGTGTGTGCAACTGATAGATTGTCTCTTCTTAAGTGGAGTACTTTGCATATGTCCTTATTGAATTTGTTTCATCTCCTTCTCTTAGGTAGCAGCAGCCCTACTAGAGGCAGCTGTCTGGCTCCTCTCTGTTTTCAGCTGTTTTTTTCAGG